TTTTATAAACTAAACGTTCACCAAAAAACTTTAGTGAGAAAAATCGAAAAAACGAACTACAAACATATTAACGCCAAACATTCGGTAGAATTTATAGAATATTGTAAAAATATATGTATATATATATATATATATATATATAGAGAGAGAGAGAGAGAGAGAGAGAGAGAAAGAGAAAGAGAGAGATGGAGAGAGAAAGAGGGATAGAGAGAGAAGGAGAGAAATATATGTGCATATATAGTTATAACATACATGATTGTAAAAAAATTGCTCAATTAAGTCTTAGAATCAATAAAATTATGATACATAACAATATAAACGGGCGTGTGTAAATACGTTATATATATATATATATATATATATATGTTATATATATGTTATATATATATATATATATATATATATATATAAGATTACTAAAGCAGACCTATGTTGGCAAGAAATAAAATGCGTTTATTTGTGTGTATGTCTGTTTGTCTGTCTATCTGTGTGCGTGTATATATATGTATATATATATATATATATATATAAAAATTTAGAGATATATATATATATATATATATATAAATTTAGAAAGAGAGAGAGAGAGAGAGAGAGGGGAAAAAAGAGAAAGAGAGAAAGAAAGAGGGAGAGAAATAGGAGAGGGAAGTCTTTCAAGTTGGCTGGTAGAAGACAGTTGAAATGAATTTCTTCTTGTACCTGAAAAGTTCGTGAAAGATTAATTAGGGAAGAAATAATTTGTGAGAGAGAGAAAAACTGAAATGAATGAATGAATGCAGAGAGAGAAAGAGAGAGAGAGAGAGAGAGAGATGGAGAGAGAATGGGTGGAAAATAAAATTCAAATGTGGGTGAATAAACAGCAGAAGGAAGGAAACATGGTAGCGACCAAGTAAATAAGTTACGGTGATGCCGTCAATTGAAATATTTGGATGGCGAATGAATGATTGAATGAATGAATGACTGAATGAATGAATGTATGAAAGAAGAAATGAACGAACTAAATAATGAAGTCGGAATGAAGCAAGGACTGATCGATCGATCGATTGATTGATCGAGCAATGACGTCTAAACTCAATAAATGACGAACGGGCGAATTGATAAACGAGTGAAAGAACAAATGAATGATTGAAGTGAAGAGAGAAAAATGAAACAAAGGAGAATGAATGACTAAAACCCACCTATGCATGGAACTCATGGTGATGACACCTCCCTTGATTGACAGGGCGTACAAATGATTCAACTCTGGCGTCTGTGGAACTGGTAAAATCTCAGGATCGCACTGATGGTGATGATGGTGACGACGATGATGATGATGATGACGACGACGATGATGATGGTGGTTATGACAGACTTACAGGCACAGGTAATTCTTTGTTAAGTGTGATCTGCAGCAGTTGGGGGGGGATTGTGGGTGGCCGGTGGTGCGAACTCATATTTGGGGGCAGCTCCTGGCCAAAGCCAACGTCTGCCAAAAAAAATTTATAACCGATGTAGAGATGGCCTAATTATTGAAGGTGCCGAATTTGAAAGGTTAAAGGTAAATTTCACTCTTCCAAAGTTCAGAATATTAGAGGGGATGAACGTGAAGGGATCCACGCGCGTTTAATGTAGAAATAAGGAAGAAGAAGAATAAACTTTTTTGTATCTTATCACTACAAAGTTTAAAACTACACACCACAAAGTGAAAATGAATAAATAAAAAGCCAATAATTAATTCAACAAAAAAAAAATAAATAAAAAATATTTTAAATTCAAATTGAACATTTCTGACCGAGTTTTTCAGTTGTTTTGTCGTCTGCTTTGAGGGCCCTAAAAATTTCAAAGTCAGACTCCTTGATGATGAGTTGGTTGTTGAATGATTGTCTGCCATTTTCTACATGGGGCTGGTTTGTGGCAAAGTTTATTCACTTATTTATCTATCCATCCATTCAGTCTATCATTCATTCATTCCTTCATTCACATCAGCTAATCAAATTCTATCTTCAACCAATGAAAAACCTCATCTGCATCGATGGTCCACTCTCCATCTACAAGGAACTTGTACTGGTGCTCGCCTACTGGCAGATCAATTATTACCAAAAATTCATCTCCGCTGTTTGGGGAATTGTAATAATAATAATTATAATAAACCCCCATAGCAGCAACAACACTAAAAAAAAATACCCTAGCCAACCAGTTAACAAGAGGAATAATATTAGTCCAGCCATCGAAACTGCCCATGAGCTGAACAGTGTCGGCGGCCTTTGTCCACCTAAAAAGTGTTGGTATCGTGCTGGGTGTCGTCGGGATGTCACTAGACTCTGACAGCCTGTCGGACAATCTCTTTATTCCACATCCATTTTCTGTCAGCTTCAATCATTCAATCAGTCGGTCAGTCATTCGCTCAATCAATCAATCAGTCAATCAAATAATTTAATTTCCCTAAAATTAGAAATGGGGTCCTAAGTAGTATATTACCTTATATCTTGGAGGCTGCCTCCCCATATTGTAATATTCTAACGCTTCTGTGGCTTGTGCTATCGAGTATGTTGTTAAGTCGTCACAGGAGTCTGAGAATGCCTGATCTCTCTGGCTGCCAGACGAATTTCCCATTTTTATTGTTTATTAAGTTTTTTATTGTTTATTTACTTTTACTACTTCTAGACCTCAAGATCACAGCTCGTGTTAAGTTTGCAAAACAATTGACAAATATTTTGGGTAATTATTTTATTTTAATTGCACAAATATAATATACTGTCTATTTTAGTAGCAAATTGACAAATAGTAAATTCTCAAAATTTAAAAAATTAAAAATTAAAATGGATGATACAGTTTTACAGTCAATGAAAATAACGATAAAACTTTAAATAAAACACGGGACATTCAAAAACTTTGCCAGAAATAGGTAACTAAATGTTTGCAAAATCCTAATTCATTACGCCATAGTTCAAAATTCAAAGTTTAATGAAGATTTTGATCAAATTTCAACCAGAGTCCGACTTATTTATAAACGTAAGACAAAAAATAAATTTAGACCAAAATTCATATTTAATTATAATGGTGATGTGCTAGGCATTGCTAAATAAAAATTATATAAAAAAAATATAGTTAAATAGTTTATTCTAATTATATGGTTAAATGTATATACTAATACAAATCTTCATATACTTATTATAAATACATATATATGAATATGTATTTGATATTACCTATTGGTGAAACGTGTTTTATTGTATTGTCCCATTGAATTATATAATTTCAATAGTTATATAATTCATTAGTTATATAATTCCATGCATTGTCTTGTTATTTAATTATTTTAAAATTATACATTGAGATGCTATAATAAATTATTAAATAAAAAATGACGATTCGTGCAATAGTCGAGAACGTTAACATAAATAAGTTATTAGTAATAACTGGGTCTAACCAGGTTGTAAATTAAAAATCCTAAACATTGAACACTATTTCTTCGCAAGTTGAGACTTGCTGTTTTGGTTCGAATTCAAACAGATCCCCGACTACCTTTCAAACTGATAGGTACTTTCGAATATTAAGAAGACAAAGAGAGAGAGAGAGAGAGAGAGAGAGAGAGAGAGAAAAGAGAGAGGGGAGGAAAAGAAAAATTTTGAGAATAAATATTTGAACACACTTATAACAATTAATGAAATAAAGGATTGCCAGCTTCGAAATTGTGAATGTGACGTTTTGTTTTAGAAATAAATAAATATAAACACTAAACAACATCTAACATGATATCAAAGAAGAGACGAGAGAGAGACAGAGAGAGAGAGAGAGGAGAGACATAAACCGACACACAAACATGCAGACAGAGAATTGATATGTCGTTGTTCAGCAGCAATAGTTTTGAATTCGAAGAACGTGTTATACCATCAGTGCCAAATCTTCAGAAATTTGTCGCATTCGTTCTTATTATTTGTTAGAATCAATCCGTTTCATGTTTAATTTTATGTTTAATTTAATTAATTAAGCAAAGTCAATCGAAAGTTTTAACGAAAGCAATTTTATTGAGAAATTAACATGCCGAAATCGTTTAAGATATACAGCATTGGTCTCCTGTCATATCGTTCTATCGGTAATTTAGATTTTAAACTAAAGTTTTAGAATTTTTTGCCATAAATTGAGAGCACGAAAGCATTTTTTGTTCTCCTGTAGCATTTTCTCAAATCAAAAAATGCATGTTTCGATCAATCAAAACTTCAGACCTCAATAAATGCTCCTTATTAAACAAATTAGATTTGAGAAATAATTAGAATCATACGAACCTACAAAATCTTGATATTTCATTTCAAGTAACTTCTAATTCTCATTAAAACACCTCAAAACTTTCATTCAGAGCACATACAAGTTTAAGAACTTACACCTGTATTTCAAAACAGCAATAAAACTAGATATCCCTCTGGCGAAATTTTACGGGAGTAACGTGGCAATAGGTCTGGTGAATAAAAGTTTGCCTCTGCCGGCCACCTGGAGTTTTTGTGGCTGGTGGCGACACTACTACGATTACTACTTCCGAAATTTGTATAACTACCATTACGATGACGTGCCTGTGTTAGTACAACTATGATGTGTGTGTGTGTACGTGTGTGTGTGTGTGTGTGCATGTGCGTGGCGCGTGTGTGTGTGTGTGTGGGGGGGGGGGGTGGTGTGGGGGGGTGTAATTTATTGTCTGTAGGTTAAAATTTCATTGACTTATGCCATATTTTCTGCGTCGCTATTTCATTTTACTTATTATGATATTAAAAAAATTCAAAATTTTTAAAAATTAAATTATCGATAAATGATAAAAAATGTCTGGCCATACCTTATAATTGTCTGAGGAAAACTGGAAACTTGAAAGCCAAACAGAGATGTCCGGTTACTACATACGTTGGTGTAGTGGGTATGACTACATTCATATGCTTGCCGTAGTAGGTCACTCTTTACAGTTATTTTTCATTCATTCATTCATTCGTTCATTCATTCATTCGTTCGTTCATTCATTCGTTCGTTCATTCATTCATTCATTCGTTCATTCGTTCATCCATTCAATTTTTCTTTCTTTCTTTAATTCATTTATTTTTTTCACATTTTGTTCTGATTTTCGTTTAGACGTCAACAATCACCAATCAACAGCTAATTAAATTCTTCTCAAAAATCAATCAACCAATCGCATTCCAAGTGACAGCCACCAATTAAATTTTACACCCAATCAACAACCAATCAAAATTCACAAACCAAAAACCGCCCGACCAATCCGCGACCGACCTAGTCGAGCCCTTAAGAATACGAATCGTACCGAAACAACCCCAGACGGGGGAGAGCTTGGACGTCACCTGTGCCTTGAAGATCGCAGTCGATAGAAAAGAAGCCCACGGCATCAACAACATCGTCATCTTCATCAACGACAAACCTGTAGCCCAAAAAGCTGCCGATGTTAATGACACAACGAGGGTAAGTTTCTTCGAAGTTAAGGTGAGAACACGGTCGGGTCCTGGCACAGTTAATGTAACTTGTCAGTATGTATCCACTGCTAAGGATCCCTATCTGCATCAAGTTTATTTTATGTTGAAAGAAACACAACTACAACATGTACTAGGTACGTATGTGTGTATGTGTGTGTGTAAGTCTGCGTATGTATGTGTGTGTTTGTGTATGTATGTGTGTATGTATGTACTATGTTTCTATGTAATGTTTAAGCTTAATTACCAAAAAAATGAACAGAGGTTAATGAAAGCGCGCCAAAAACGTCAGCCACTTTGACCACTTCGGCCACACCAGCCGCCGATTACGAAACTGTGAGAGGAATCACGCCGCAAGGAATGGGTAAAAAGAAGAAGATAATCATTGGGATCTGTATCGTCGGTCTGATTGTTCTAACTTTAGTGGTCATTTTCTTAATCAACAAAGACAGTGAAAATATGGAAGGAAAGCTTTGTGGGCATTCACTCATTCATTCATTAACTTTCACTCATTCATTCATTTTCACTCATTCATCGTTTTCATTCATTTTCACTCACTCATTCATTCATTTTCATCCACTCGTTCACTCAACGATTTATTCATTTTATTTTCTTATACTTCTCAAGACGAGGAACCCGTAACGGAAAAAGAAGCCAGACCAAAATGTACCTTCCGTTATTAATTATCTTTTACAATAATATCATTGTATCGAATTTAAAACAAGTTTATTTTAAATTATGAAATTTTAAATCAATTTTTTTTAAAATTTTGTATGTCTGTGTAATGTGTGTGTGTGTGTGCGTGTGTGTGCGTGCGAGCGTTTGGTTTGAAGGAATGTTAGCTCAGGCAGTAGAGTGTCCGTGATGTTTCGAGTCTGTTACTGCTTGGTGACCTGATTTGAATACCATCTGAAATAATACGCGTAAAATTTTGAACGAATAAAATTAAATAAACATTTAAGTTAATTAATTAATTGATATAATTGTTTTTTTTATTATAGAACCATAGCGAATGATATCTTTCCATATTTTTCTTCATAATCAGATAGAAAAAAGCTGCTGGATAAAGTAGCGAAAATTCAACACCGCGTTGAGTGGCCCAATAGGCCACCAACTCCTCAAGTCCACTCCACCCATCATAAATCCAAGAATAAATTAGGTGAGGACGATGATGATGGTTATTTGGTGGTTATGTGACAGTCACGATGATGGTGATGATGGTGATGGATATGGTGATGATGACGATGATAATGATGAGTAGCCGAATGTAGGATTTTTTTTTAAATAATTTTTCCGATAAGCGAGAATACCCAACTACAGTACTGCTAGTAGTAGTATGAAAACCGACCGGAAAAAGAAAAACAGAGAACTTTCAGCCCCCAAAGAAATAAAAATCGACGACAATGATATGATTAGTGAAGACGATTAGTTAAAAAAAGTTTAATAAAACAAATTGTAATTTTACTCTCTGATCTATGACAAACATCAAATTTTGAGGCGAATGCTCTGTTAATGACTAAGATGCCTTCTCGCCCGGTTTGTATACAAGGAGTGTCCGTGTTGATTCTCCAGAGGTTTATAAAGCGAGAATTACAATTACAAATACTTCTAACCTATAAACATTGTACTATATTACTAATTTTAAAGTTCAACACACTCTATTCATGAATAATATTATATCCATGTGTATATATATCTATAGTGTATCTATCTATATCAATAAAGTTATAATTATATATTTACTGTAATTTCCTTTTTTCGTGAACGAATAAAAATTTTTTTTTTTCGTAATTCAACTTTAATAAAAAAAATTTAATTAATTTGTTTATGTACATAGTAGTAGAACGTAAAGGAGTAGTAATAGTTCAATTCCTGTAAAAAAAATCATTCCTGGAATGTAGATAGAGGCGTGTGGCTGTTTCTACTTTATTAATTGTATACTATTTAAAAATATAAATAATAGCTAATTAATGAATGCAATTAACTAATTGTACACGTATATACGCATCGAACTATTAAGCACCTTTTAACAAAAAAAATTATTTCAACGGTGTCGATGAAACATTAACCGTTTTTGGTTTGTGTACATATATCTCAACCATTTTTCCAATTAAAGTTTGGATTTTTGTTGCTTTTTTGAACTTTTTTCTTTTTTTAAGTTAAATTCACATAAAATAAATTTAATAAATAAAATTGATTGGTTGCTTGTGTTAATCAAAAAAGTTGAAATTATTTTTTTATTTGCGATTAGTTAGTGAGAGAAACCAAAGTCTATCCTGTCTCTATTCTTAAATCCTTGTCCTGCCCTGACCTGTTTTTGTTTGTTTTTAAAAGTTGAACTTAGTTTAAAATTATTTTCGTATTTAACGAATTAAAGCTTATTAAAGTTGAAAACAAATCAAATAATTTCGTTACAAATCTCTATTGATCATTGGAAAATTGAAACAAAAGTCACCTTGTGTCCAAACTTTGATTAAAAAATTAAGAGAGCCAAGACTATAAAACTCAAGATCAGAAAAATGTCGACTCCGACAACTCTGGCCCCAAAAAGCCAAAATAGTTCTTCAAGTAATCCGGAGGATCACAAAATAGGCAAATATCGTCTGATCAAAACAATAGGGAAAGGGAATTTTGCAAAAGTAAAGCTGGCCAAACATATACCAACTGGTCAAGAGGTGAGAATATTGTTTTGTAGTTCTTAAGAAAGTATTCTTGGATAACATTACACCACTATACAATTTTAGAAAATTATTAATATATTTATAATATTAGTTGAACAAGCATTGTTAAATTAAAATTTAAAACTAAGACCCCAGCTGTAAAATTTTCTTATTTTCATTCTTCTCTCACATAGGTAGCCATCAAGATCATTGACAAAACTCAGCTAAACACATCCAGCTTACAAAAAGTTAGTGTGTGTGTGTGTATGCGTGTGTGTGATTGTGTGCGTGCGTGCGTGCGTGTGTATGTGTGTAAATATATATATATAAATATAAATAATAATAAAAAATGTTATCCAACCCCAGCTCTTTAGAGAAGTTAAAGTGATGAAATGCCTAAATCATCCTAACATAGGTCAGTTAAGTTAGCCAGTCTGTCATTGTTGTTATTATTATTATTATTATTACTGTTGTTACTATTATTGTTGTAATTGTTATTACTGTTTTTCATTTTTAAAATGAATTATTTCAGTGAAACTATACGAAGTAATTCAAACCGAAAGAACAGTCTACCTAGTCATGGAATATGCCAGTGGAGGTATTATTATTATTTATATTATTATTATTATTGCTGTTCCAGAGGTATTATTATTATAATTCTTATTCTTATTATTATTCTTTCAAAGGGGAGGTCTTTGATTTTTTGGTGGCTCATGGCAAGATGAAGGAGAAGGAGGCTAGGGCAAAATTTAGACAGGTGTTTGTTCGTTTGTTTGTTCTTTCATTCCTTTTTTATTTATTTTTTATTCGTTCATTCATCCACTCATTCATTTTCTCATTCATTCGTTCATTTATTTATTCATTCATTCAAAAAAGATTTAATCAGCTATGTGTTTGTCGGTCCATTCATTCACTAGTCACTATTCAATCATTTATGCATTCATCCATTTTATAGACACTCGTTCATTTGATTCTTCACTCATTCAATTACTTATTTTTTTTTCCAAAATCATTTATTCAATAATTCATTCATTCATTCACTCTATCCATTCATTCATATTTAGATAGTATCAGCAGTTCAGTATTGCCACAAAAAGCTCATCCTACATAGGGATTTGAAGGTTGATGATGATGATGATGATGAGGATGATTGAAAAGGGAAGAATGAATGAATGAATGAATGAAAGAATGAATCAATGACAAACATTTTCCTCCCTGTTTTCTAGGCTGAGAACTTATTAATGGACGGCGACTTCAACATAAAGATTGCAGATTTTGGGTTCTCCAATGAGTTCTCCCACGGTAGCAAGTTGGATACGTTTTGTGGCAGCCCTCCGTATGCTGCCCCTGAACTTTTTCAAGGTCGTTTGGTTGGCTGTGTGTTCCGGTTGGTTGGTTGGTTGGTTGGTTAGAGGATTGATTGGCTGGTTGGCTGGTTGGTGGATTAGTTGGCTAGTTCAATCCTCGTTTATAGTCTCCATCCGTTATGGGTCGGTTAATTGTGTGTTTCTGAATGGTCAGTTTATTGATTGGTTGGCTGATTAGATGGCTGATTGGTTGGATGAATCGGCCAATCACATGACAGGTAAAAAGTACGACGGCCCTGAAGTAGATGTCTGGAGTCTAGGAGTCATCCTGTATACACTCGTCAGTGGGTCGTTACCTTTCGATGGGCAGAATCTTAAAGTGGGTGGAGCTTGTTTTGTTCCTTTCTGTGATTGGCTGGCTGGTCGGTTAAATAATTGATTGATTGGTTGACTGATTGATTGATTAGTTGATTGATTGATAGAATTGAATTGAATTGAATTTAGGAATTGAGAGAGAGGGTTTTAAGAGGAAAATACAGAATTCCATTTTACATGTCAACTGACTGTGAGAATCTATTGAGGAAAATGTTGGCCATCAATCCGAGCAAGAGATCTAATCTAGAAGTTAGTTCATTGGCTGGTTGGTTCATGAATGATTGATTGATTGGTCAACTAATCAACCAATCATTGAAGGCCATAATGAACGACCCCTGGATGAATATTGGTTACGAAAATGACAAACTCGTTCCATACATCGAGCCACCATTCCAAATTAATAACGAAGTTCTTGGTTGGCCTCTTCATTCATTCATTCATTCTTTCATATTTTTATAATTATCTCATTCATTCATTCATTCACCCATTCATTCACTCATTCATTCATTTGCCTGTTAGCCCTAACTATTTAAATTTTTCGTGATTTATTTAAATATTCAGTCATTCAAAACATCTGCCGTGTTTTTTTACACTCATTCGTTTTTTACTATTTTTTTATTATTTTTTTTATTATTATTATTATTATTGATTTGTCATTTTAAATATTTCAAATATAATTCATTCTTTCGTTCACACATGCTTTCCCATAATTATTCATAATTATAAGTTATAACTAGTCACCATAAATTTGGCGATTTATATAATTATTTTCATAATATAATAATAATAATAAATATAATAATTATTAGTATTATTATTCTTATAATTAAACGTTATTACAAATAGTTTATTAGTAACTATCACTGACTTGTCTGTCAATTAGGATATCTTTGGATAAAGAAGAATAATAACAATAATAACAAAATTATAGTAACCACTGAATAATAATAACAACAATAATAATAATTACGATAGTAATAATAAATATTCATAA